GATTCTCTTGCCTCAGCCTCCCAAGTAGCTGGGACTACAGGCGCCCACCACAATGCCCAGCTATTTTCTGCTGCAGTTGTCATTGTTTCGCTGACCCAGGCCACATCTGAACCCACCACCCTTGGTGTATGTGTTGGCACCATAACCACTATGTTATGGGTACCAAGCTAACATACCAGCATTCTTAACCCTTACGTTTGGAAAGATCACCCATCTCTTAGTGCAGGAACACATGTATGAGGCATTATGTTTCCTCCCAGGTCAGGCCTGCTCAGACTCAGTCACTGGGAGGTGTGCTGGAGGCAGCTTCCCTAAGGACTCTCCCAACACTTTAAAAGCCACAATATGGGCTTGGCGCCTGTAGCTCAAGTGGCTAAGGTGCCAGCCCCATACACCTTAAGGTGGCGGGTTCGAATCCAGCCCAGGCCCGCCAAACAACAATGATGGTTGCAACCAAAAAAAATAGCCAGGCGCTGTGGAGGGTGCCTGTGGTCCCAGCTACTTGGGAGACTGAGGCAGGAGACTCGCTTGAGCCCAGGAGTTGGATGCTGCTGTGAGCTGTGATGCCATAGCACTCTACCCAGGGGATCAGCTTGAGGCTCTGTTTCAAAAAAAAAAGCCACAATATGGCAAAATGATTGTGGCCTGTCACCTAAATAAAGTTCTATTGGAGTACAGATATGCTCTGTCTGTCAGGTATCAATAGTTGCTTTTGCACTACAACAGAGTGGAGTGGTTGTGACAGAGACCACGTGGCCCCCAAAGCCTAAAATATTTAGCGTCTGGCCCTTTATATTAAGTCTGCCAACCATCTCTGCCTTAAACAACTATGTGATGGCAAGCCTTGTGAAACAGCATACACACAAGTACACACTACTTATTCTGGTCAGCTGGTGGGGGGAACGCAGTGGATGGTTATGATCAAAGTACTACAGAGTACATCATTTATTTCTGGATGAGCACAATTCCCTCCCCAGTCACCCTAAACTCAGTGATACCATGTGCATGCCCAGCCACCCTACCTGTCCAGTGCTAGCTGGAGGCTGCACTTGTGTTATCGGGTATTGTGTTGGCACAGGTGGGACTCCAGTAGGTAATGCTGGCAAGACTCCAGGTGCCAGTGAAACAGCTGGTGGCACTATGCTTGGTACTCCATAGGGAGGTTGAACTGGCTGCTGAGGAGGGGGAACAACAGGGTAACCAGACTGATAGCCATTGGATGGATAATATGGTGGTTGAGGAGGGACACTACTTATAGCAGAGGGTTGTGTATAGCCTGAGGGGGGAAGAAAAAAAGTGTTTAATCAGCTGCAGCAGAATGAGACATTTTAGCTGAATCTTAAAACATAATATCTAGGGAAGAATAATACTGAGGCATGAATGCTTTCCAAATTACCATAAGCTGAAGGCAACACTAATATTGCCCTGCAGTGTAGCCTCAAGTACTGTAGTTACACACAAATATCACTAACAAAAAATTTCTTAAATACTTCAAGATGTACACACCTGGTAAAGGTACAGCAGAATTAATTTGATTCACAAATCTAGAGTATTCAGCATGAACCTGAAAGACAAGGGAAAGCAAATTAATATGGGATGGTCCCAACTGATTCTGCATTTATAAAGGTCTAGGTCTGATTATATAATTCTAGGACCAAAGCAAATAGGAATTAAAATATTACCATTGATGTTCTAATCAAATTTAAACTTATTTGGGGGTATAAAATCATTCAGAAAGCCACAGAAATTTAATTAGGATATTTAAGCTGTTAGTATATGTCCTTTAGGAGCTAATAGTTTAATAAGGGTTAAGTACTTTCTCTCCACCTCTTCTTCACTATAAGCATCCTACTAGTAAGTCAGTACTTGGTAACTTCAAGTACAAACAATGAAGAAGATGAGAAATGGTGAAGGATATTATCTGGTACAGGGGTTGGCAAATCAGGTTATAGGCACAAAAGAAAACATCAGCCTCTCAATAAGGTACCCTAAAATACCAAAACACACTAGATTGAACATTTTCAACCCCAAACCTGATTTCCTTTAACTGGTACAAAAATAATCCTATGGTTTAACTTTTGGTTATTTGTTTATAGATTTAAAAGAATGGGAAACAAAATAAGCAATTATCCCCCAAAGAACTACTAATTGCTTATAAATTAGGCTAGGCCTGGTGGCTCACACTTGCAATCGCTCCCAACCTTTGCCTTGTAGGAAGACTTGTGGGAGGCCAAGGCAGGTAGATTGCCTGAGCTCAGGAGTTTGAGACCAGCCTAGGAAGAAAGAGTAAGACCTGGCTCGGTGCCTGTAGCTCAGTGAGCAGGGCACCAGCCACATACACCAAAGCTAGTGGGTTTGAGCCTGCTAAACAGCAATGACAACTGCAACAACAACAACAAAAAGGTAGGCATTGTGGCAGGTGCCTATAGTCTCAGCTACTTGGGAGGCTGAGGCAAGAGAATCGCTTAAGCCCAAGAGTTTGAGGTTGCTGTGAGCTGTGATGCCATGGCATTCTATGGAGGGCAACATATCGAGACTCTGTCTCAAAAAAATAAATAAATAAATAAGCAAGACCCGTTCTCTAATCAAAAGCCATTGTGATGGGCACTTGCAGACCTAGCTACTTAGGAGGCTAAGGCAACAGGATTGCTCAAGACCAGCATCTGACGTTGTTGTGAGCTAGAATATCACAGGAGGTCCTCTATCCAGTGTGACAGGTGAGACTCTGTCTCAAAAAAGAAAAGAACAATAGTTGGGCTTTGTGATGGGCGCCTGTAGTCCCAGCTACTCGGGAGACTGAGGCAAGAGAATCGCCTAAGCCCAGGAGTTGGAGGTTGCTGTGAGCTGTGATACCACAGTACTCTACCAAGGATAACAAAGTGAGACTTTCTCTCTTAAAAAAAAAGTCAAAGAATGCCAAGTCAACA